CATTCTTCCCTTAAAGAACAACATTATCTGGCTCTCTCCTCCTACCGCCCAAGACGCTGAGGGGAAAGAAGGCTAAGGGGAAGCAGGTGGCGCCAGCCCCTGCTGCCATGAAGAAGCAGGCCAAGAAGGTAGTAAACCCCCCGTTTGGAAAAAGGCCCAAGAACTTTGACATTGGACAGGACATCCAGCCCAAAAGGGGACCTCACCCACTTTGTCAAATGGCCCCACTATATTCAGCTGCAGCAGCAAAGGGCTATTTTCTATAAATGTCTGTATAAGTGCCTCCTGCCATTGACCAGGTCACCCAGGCCTTGGACCCCAAACAGCTACGCAACTGCTCAAGCTGGCCTACAAGGACAGACCAGGGACAAAGCAAGAGAAGCAGCAGAGAGTGCTGGCCCGGGCTGAGAAAAAGGCTGGCGGCAATGGGGATGTCCCCACCAAGAGGCCACCTGTCCTTCGAGCAGGGGTTAACACGTCCCCACCTGGTGGAGAACAAGAAGTCCCAGCTGGTAGCCACCGCACACAATGTGGATCCCGTCGAGCGGGCTGCCCTCCTGCCGGCCCCGCGGGCCCGTGCGGGCCTGGGGGCTCCCCACCACATCGCCAAGGGAAAGCCAGGCTGGGCCGTCTGGTCCACGGGACGACCTGCACCGCCGCCTCCTTCGCTCAGGTTGACTCGGAAGGCCAAGGGGCTCCGGCCCAGCTGGTGGGAGCCCTCCGGACCAATTACAACGACAGATGTGATGCGATCCGCCGCCACCGGGGCGGCAATGTCCTGGGTCCCAAGTCAGTGGCTCACATCGCCAAGCTGGAAAAGGCCAAGGCTAAGGAACTGGCCACCAAGCTGGGCTGAGCGTACACTGTGGAGAACTGTGTACTTAAAAGTAATAAAAATGCTCCTTCAGCCAGGAAAAAGAAGAACAACGAACACCATTATCTGGTGATTCTACCTGTTCCTAGGTAAGAAAAAGGTAGAAAACAGTCTGGCTAAGTTCCTAGCCACTATAAAACAGCATGCTCTGTAATACTGGAATGCAATTGTTACAAAGCCAAAAGTAAACAACACAAAACAAAAGAATGGTAACTGGTTACTCATGCTTCAGATTCACCCTTGTAGACAACTAGGTGGCTAAGAGTCCCCAGTCTTTTGTTAGTAAGGTTTTATCAGGTAAAGGAAAGCCTCCAGAATACTTTCTGCACACAAAGGTAGCAACCTTTAATTCAGTCTTTCCTTTTACTACACTATTTTTGCTATGGACCATTTTTCCAAAATTCTCATAATCTTCTAGTAGGATTTACTTTTATTCTCTTATTTAGATTTATAAGTAACAAAACTAACAAAGAAAAAAGAGAAAGCCTGATTGCATGGAGCACAAGACGGACGAAGCTACAAAGGATGCTCGTTAGAGACCGATTATTGTACAGGTGGCTCCCAAAAAAATCAAGATTAAAACACAAAACTGAGTTTGAGTCACCCTTGCAACACAAACAGGTAAGACACTAAGAGTACTACTACGTGACTGCATACTTTAGCTATTAGAAAAACAGTACAGAGTAGCCCGCTAAAGCAACACACACTGGCACACTAGGTTAGTATAAAACTTGTTCAAAATGAATCTGGATGCTTAACGTGTAAATCCTGGAAATATAATTCATTAGATTTAGGATCACACAGGCCAAAAAGTGATATGCTTTAATGACAAAAGTGGGGACACCAACTGTGATGTACAACATCAGAGAAGCACTGAGTTGAAAGTCAGATATATGCTTATATGCATTTATGGGTCCATTGCCCAACAAGCTCTGAGGCAATGTTATGACCAAACCTCACACTCGATTAAGATAGAAATGTAAAATCAGGATCCAGGGGGCCAGCATAATAGTGTGCTTAAAAATACAAGCTTGGCTACCACACAGACCTGAGTTAAAATCCCCAATCAACAAATTACTGTGTGACCTTGAACTAATCATTTAACCAAACCTCGATTCCCTCATTTGTAAAATGAAGATAATGCTTCACTCAGCTATTATGAAATTTAAGCAAGATGATTTCATGTAAAGCTTTCAGCCCTGTACCTGGCACAGAGATAAGTAAACAACAATAAGCTAACTCTAAAATTAGCATGATTACTGTCTTCCAACCTCAAGTAAAACTAAGTTTCCTGGTAGCCAGACAAAAGGTGTAATCATTAGAAAAAAGACATTCACATATACTTACATAAAGGTAGTTTTTCATTTCTTTACACATTATAGGAACTGTCCCCCTTCTTAGAACAACTATATACAGGAAAGGCTTCAATGCAGGCCTTCTTAATTAGGACGCGTAATTTTTAATGAGGTCTGGATTTGAGGAGTTAATAGTTGGTATTGTTAGGAGAAAGAGGGAAAGAGAGGAACAAAAAGCCTTCAAACCAACCCACACACCACTGTTCAACAGAGAAAAACAACAGTTGACTGTTCACATTGTTTCATAACTGAAATAGAAAATGAAGGAGAAAAAAAATCAGGTGAAATATTTTAACTCATACAGAAGAAAGAACACACACAGTTATTAGTAAGGTTAAAGTGACCAAACTCGTCAAAAAAAAAAAAACAAGAAAAGGAAGGTGAAAAGTCAATTATTCCCATAGCTTAAGAAACACCCACATACTCTATTCTTTTAAGATCATGGTTCAAATTTCCCATTTGCAACTGTCTTTGCCCACTCTTCCAAAAATGCCACTAGCTTGACTGTACCCTTAACTTGTACTATCTCCTTAATCAAGTACATTATTCTGCTTAAGGACAAAAATAAAATCTTATGCATTATCATTTTCCAGAATACATGAGAAAATTGCCTAATTCAATTATTTAATGAAGGCATTTCAAAAAATACGTTGAGAGGTAATGGGGGGGATGGAATTCCTCATAAAAATAAATCAGTCATAGATAAATTGTTCAAGGGCAACCAAAAACAAATTTCAAAACTGTAAATTCTGAAATTTTGAGTTAGGAGCAGGGTTAAGGAGTTGGAAGGTACAGAAAAAAATTCTCAAAACAAAAAGTGAATTAAAGGCTCCTGCAGGGAGTACACACTGCTCTCAATCCATCAGTAGATGTGCAAAAATTCTGAACAATAAAAAAAGGAGAATAAATTATCTGTATCAATACTGGGAAATTTAGCAACAGAGGGAAAAATAAAGTAATCCATAGGCATTTTCAAGCATTTAAAGATATCTTTCTGTATTACAGGTATTACTGCAAAATCAAAGAAGAGACTGGTTAGATGGTCTAATTAACAAGTTAGCAGTAAAAGAATAATGACAGGCCAAAAGAAGCTCTGTCACCTAGAGATAATGGACATTTTCTTTCTACTGTTTAAAAACCCAGAAGAGTCCCTGGTGGAGTAGCTCAGTTAACTAGTTAGACTGTCACGGGATCTGCCAAGGTTGCAAGTTCGGTCCCTTGTCAGGGCACGGACAAGAATCAACAAATGAATGCATAAATAATTGGAACAACCAATCCAAGTCTCTCTCTCTCTCTCTGTCTCTGTCTCTCCACTCCCCCACTCCCACTCACCCCTCCCCTTTCTCTCTCTCAAATCAATAAATAAAAATTAAAACAAACAAAGAGAATCCAGAAGAATCTCCTTCTGCTTTTAAATGCAAATTACCAATCTCAGAAGCACATTCAGCCCTATTCCTTTACCTGAAAATTACTGCAATGTGATCTTGTTCCAGAGAGGACCCCATTCAGACAGGAAAATGGAATTAGGACAACCACACATTCTGTAAGTATGTTGAGACCATCATATCCGTGAGCTGTCACCCTTACACATGGTCTTGAACCACTACCTGTGATCAAAATTCTCTTCGAAGAATGAAAGCTTAGTTTTGAGGCCTATGGGGTCTTTAGAGTTTATATGAACAAATAACAACACAAGCTATTTACTGGAAACTTTTTTAAGGCAGAATTTCAGTAATAATAGTATGAGTTATTATTCCATTGTACATTACATGGTAAGACAAATAAAAAATACACCACAATGCAAGAAAGGTGAGCACCTCAGATTCTGCACTTCTCTTCCTTGTTAAAATTCCCCGGAACAGTGAATGCTGATGTGGAGACATATTGCAATTTAATGTACCCGGTGATCAAGGTTAAAAGGAACACTTTTACACCAGGAAAGCTCGAGGAGTAAGTAATCTGTAATAGAGGGATTTGTCCCACTATTAGAGGTTCAAGTTTTCTGCTAAAACCACACTTGGTTTGGGAAATTTTATTTGTTGTCAGGTAAGTATAAACAAATAGCGAAGAACATTGGACAAGATATAGACTCATAAAAGGATAACTTACCTCTAGTCTTTTCAAGTTATATATTAATAAATAACTTTAGTGTTTAAAAAAGCCCTTTCTTCTCGCTAAGGCAAGTCCCATCCAAATGAGTGAATTTTTTTGGTCATCCCCTATCACCAAAGGCAGACCTGTCTTCCTCCACAGGTCACCTGACAACTAGGAACACAAACTATTGAAAATGCACTTCCAATCTCTGAAACATCAGTGAATGTGTGAGGAGAAGGAAAGGGATTGTATTGGGTTTAGAAAAGCTACTTGAATGTTTTCCAAATGCCTGCAATTAGTACGTGTCAACCAAACGGCAGAGCACGGCATTAGCTGCCCCCTCCTTACATCTACCCACTCAGAACTTGGGCAATGGATGCAGCAGGGCACTCCAGACCAAAGAGCTAGGAGAGTATTCTGCACCGAAAATAGGAAGCCTGCATTTTTGATATGGTAAAAAGCAAGTGATGGCAGTCTTGTGCTTTTAAAGAACCTAGAAGCACTTACTGGTTCAGCCCATCCCCAAATCCAAGCCACCCTTTCAACTTTGCAATTAAAAGAGAGGAGAAATTCCGGTCAACTCGCCTTGGGGGGTTGGTCTGAGGACTGAGGACTCAAGCAGGGAGGAAGATGGAGAGAGAAAGAGCAAGCCAATGAAAGATACCAAAATCTCCCACCTTTCTTAAATTCTTCCAGCATAGCGTCCAACTTGGTGTCATTGAAAACAAAGTGTAAGGGGTGGTTATAAAATTTAGTGATGGTTTTCAGGGGAGTACAGTCATCTGGATCCACGAATGCCAAGTCTTTGACAAATAGGAGGTCCACGATGTTGGAGCGCTCCCCCTCAAACACTGGAATGCGAGTGTAGCCGCTCTCCATGATCTCCGACATAGTGTTGAAGTCCAGAATGGCTTCACCGGTGATCATGAAGCAGTCCCGGAGGGGAGTCATCACGTCCTCCACCGTCTTGGTGCGGAGCTCCAGCGCCCCTTGGATGATGTTCAGCTCCTCCTTAACCAAGTCGTTGTAGGGGTCTGTGACCCGAAGCATCTCCAGCAGTTTTTCCCGGTTATAGACTGTGCCTATCTCCTGGCCCAGGACGCAGTCCAGCAGCTTGCTCACTGGGTAAGAAGCGGGGAAGGTCATCATCATGAAAAACTTAGTGAGGAAGATGGTGTTGGCCCCTACAGCCAGGCCGTGCCGGGAGCAGATAGCCTGGGGCACGATCTCCCCGAAGATGACGATGCCGATAGTGGAGACCACCACGGCCACGAGGCCTGAGCCGGCGATGTCGTCGAGCAGGATGGTGAGTGTGGTGTTGACCAGCACGTTGCCCAGCAGCAGCGAGCACAGCAGGTAGTTGCCCTGCCTGCGCACGGGCTCGATGCGCTTGGCATAATTCTTCTCCTTCTCGGTGCCGCAGTTCTGCACGATGCGCAGCTCCATCGGGTCCAGGGCCATGAGCCCCAGGTTGAGGCCGCTAAACATGCCGGACAAGCACAGGAGCAGCGAAATAAAGATCACCTGCAGCCAGAAGGGCAGCAGGAACTTCTTCTCCTCGCCCACAATCATTTTGGTGTCCTCGCCATCGTGGTAAATCCAGGTGGTCTCAGCCCATGGGGCCGGCGGGAGCCCGGCCACCCCGGAGCCGCCCTTGCCCCCGACGGTGCCACCCGCGGACCCCGGGCCGCCAGCGCCCAGGGCTGGCGTGGACAGCGATGTGCACAGGTAATAGGACTTGCTCTTCTCCATCTTGCGCAACGGTTTGATCTCGATCTCAATGATGCCCGATGTACGGCGGTTGAGAATGATATGGGGCAAGATGATGATATCTGATGTGCGCATGCCGCAGAGCTGGGGGCCGCTGTCCGGCTCTGGGGGCGCGGGGCCCCCCAGCCCGCGCTCTCCGGGGCTGTGACGCCGCCGCTCGTGCTCAGTGAAGGCGATGCGGGTCCACGTCTCGTTGTTGATGTTCTGCCCGTACACCCGCAGCTTGACCCGAGTCCGCTCGCTCACCCGCAGCGCCCCCCCTTCCATGAACGACACGTCGTTCGTGTCCTCCAGCCTCAACCCGATGATCACCGTCTCCTCGCTCTCGCCCGACGCGGCGCAGCGTCCAGCGCCGCAGCAGCAGCTCAGCAGCAGCAGCGGCAGCAGCCTTTCCGCCGCCGCCTGCAGGACCCCCCGGCCGCGGGCGCTGAGGCTGCGGTGCGCCGCCATCTTCCAAGTGGGCAGTGCGGCAGATGCCTGCCCGCCCGCCATCTTTACTTCGGGTTCACAAGCGCCACAGCCAATCATAGGGTGGCTGCTCCAGCTGCGGCTTCATCCTTCCCAGCCGGCGGCGCGAGTGCAGACACCGGCCCCTGAACGAGATTGCAATTAAGTGTCCGCACCCAGTGCTCAGCAGTCCGCCTCCCTGACTGACACTGACTCGGCCTGGGCCAGCTAAGGAACCTGGAGGATCGCTGTTGGGGGGAGAGGGAGGGGAAAGCACCAGCCGCTGCCGCGAGAGGCAGGCAGAGCAGCCAGTCACGAGCAGGCGGCCGACCTCCCAGCCAGGGGGCTGGAATGGGGGCGTGGTCGTGAGCGGAGCCGCGAGCCAATGGCAAGGTAAGTGGGTGGGGATATGAGGGCCACGATCCTCCCCAGCACGCCAAGTTTCCAACTGAAAGGCGCGTGACTCTTGTGTATGTGCGAGGGAAGGAGGTGTGGCCAGCGGGGGCCCAAGAGCCAGTCACAGATGAGAGCTGTGCGAAAGGGGGCGGGGTCCCCCGTTCGGAGGCCAATGAAAAGGGGCGGTCCGCGGGGTCGCGGTTTCCTGAGGAGCCTCGGTAGTGGAATCCAGGACTTAGTTTTGCCAGATTGAACTATTGTCCTGCGGCGCGAGGACAGCTCCTCGCAGCACCGCGTTGACAGCTCCCTAGTGCTCCGTGGGGATGAAGAAGGGACTGCGCCTTATTGCCCCAGAAGCCCGAGAAGCCCACTAGGCACAGCCTAAGATGTACATTAGCGTAAAATGAAGCCGGTGCACCAGCCGCAGCCCCCGTCTTGTAGTCCTGGCCCTGGCACCGCACCAACCCGCTCTCCTAGCCTTATGCGTCTCCCCAAGGGACGCGCGTTCTGCAGCTTGCGGTCAGGTGTCGCCACCTGCCGGCCGCCTGGGCGCTCTGCAACGCTTTCCAGGTGAGCCCCAAGCCCCGAACGGCGTAGGGGACGTGGAGTTAGAGTTGAGCAATTTCCCCATCTTCCAAATCGTAAGAGTCTACTCATATTCTTGCTGAAAGTATACATTTCATGGACCCCGTTTCATGCTTACTCAAAGGGTAGGGCCCAGGAGTCTATTTCTAACAGGCACTGAACTTTGGGAAATGGAATGGGGGAGGGATAGACATTCTAAGCAGATGCAGGAAGACTCATTCTTCCCTTCCCCCCCAAGATTTTATTTTATTTATTTATTTTTGGGGAGAGGGGAAGGGGGCGGAAAGGTAGGAAGAGGAACAGCGATGTGCGAGGGAAACATCCATCGGGTTGCCTCTCAAACGCCCCTAACCAGGATGGCCCTCAGCACAGGCATATGCCACCTCCGGGAATCCAGCCGGGGACCTTTCGGTCTATTGGACGACCCCACTGAGCGACACCAGTCAGGGCCTTCCCCCGCCCCCCGCCCCGCCTCAGTACGGCTGTATTACAATGTTTTATTGTTTAATTTTAGTTTCCAAATTTTCTTCAATGAATATTACTGTTAGCAAAAATTGAAAAACAAATATGTGCATATGCATGCACACACTTATGCACACTTAAGAAGCCTTATCTAGAGTGATTTTGTTGTAACTGCATAATCTACTCAATATGACAGCCTCATTCTTTAAAAAAAAATTTATCTTACTATAGTTAGAATACTTAACATGATATTAACCATCTCAACAAATTTTAAGTGCACATTATTGTTGACTTACATTATATGTACATCAACCCATCGGATCTCTAGAGTTTATTCATCTTAATTGCCCCTCCCCCCAGGAGATCACCATTCCAGCTTTGATTTTATGAATTTGACCGTTGCAGATAACGCATGTAAGTAGAATATGCAGTACTGGCTTTTTTGTGTGTCTGGCTTCTTTTAATATAATGTCCTCAAAGTCCATCCATGTGTGGCATATTGCAGAATTTCATGAGGTTCATTCTTAATCACACTGGCCAAACCCTCCTAGATTCAGCCAAGTAGAAGAAAAAAATCCTCAAGACCTAGCTGGGCAGAATTCCCAAGTCCACTGCTGTCTGAAGCAGATAAGGTAGCAGAGTAACTGACAAATTGATCTTTATCTTGAAACTTTAACATCCAAAAAAATAATTGCTTCCTGTGTTTTTTTTTTTTTAATTCTGCAAGCATGTTTTTTTCCCTTTTTGTAAACCATCAAACTCTTCTGATTCATTTCTGGTAGGAATGACTGCAGTGGGCTCCTCACTGGTCTCTCCTCTAGTTCCACACCTGTCCCCTTCCTTTCGCAACCCAGAAAGCCAGTGGTCTTGTTCAATCACATGTTTTCCATCCCTTGTTTGAAATTCTCCTCTCAGCCCCCATCTCATCGCAGTAAAAGCCACAGTACCTACATACCTGACAAGGCTCTAAGGGGTCCGCTGCCTCCTTTGACTTCTCTGACCTCCTCGACTGCTGCTCCAGCCAGACCCGACCCTCCTTTTTCTCATTGGCTCCAGGGTGCTCCCCTGGGAGCGTGTGCACTTGCTGTGGTTTCCTTTGCCTGGGATGCTCTTCCCTCAGCTGTCAGCGCAGCCCCTTAGTTCACCCCCTTCCGGACTACTCAAGGGCCACCTTTTCAAAGCTTGTCAACAAACACTCCCTGTCCTCCATCTCTGCTTTATTTCCCTTAATTTAATTTATTGTCTGTCTCCTTCCACTAGAACTTGAGCTTCCTGAGGGGAAGGATCTTGTCTGTTTTGTTCATTGCCATATTATCAGTGCCTAGCACAATGGTAGGTGTTCAAAATAATATTTGTAGAATGTTTAAGAAATGAAAGAATTTTTATTCTTTCAAATAATGTCCCCGATTCTAGCTTCCAGGCCTTGAGTTTCTGGTGTTGCTTCCCCACCCCCAATTCTCATACTGCTATATAGAAAAATAATTTCAGATGAAAAAAATATGGATTCGTAAACTTGGCATGCATTTATAAAAATAGCATTATGGAAGGTTAGGAGAAAAAAGATGAGTTTTTTAGGAATGTCTGACAAAGGTTAAGGATAGATAAGGTCCTTCCAAGCTGACTGAAAATGAAAGTTTTAACTTCATAAAGAGTATGAATGTGTTTTAAGGGAGCTAAGAGGGAAGATGATTAAAAGCTCTCAAATGCTGAATGTACACTTTTGGAATAAGAGTGTGGAGAACAGGGTGGGGGACAGCTTGTCAAATCTACAGACACTTCCTGTGCATTTCAGAGAACCCTAGAATAATCAGGAAAGTGTGGCATTCAGCAATTTAGAAGCAAGTTAGAAATTCAGGACTTCATAGCAAAAATGTGAGAAAGGACATTTTACAATATAATTTACAATATAAAATAAACCAAGTTCAAATTCATACAGGGAATTGCTGAATGATGTTTATAGAGAGCAGGGGGTCATATTTGTCACAGAGCAATCTAAGTAAGTAATTTTTCCTTAGCAAAAGGGATCTTCCTTCAAGATTGGAGGCTTTTTAGCTAAAGAAGTTACCCTCTTCTCTAGTGAGGGACTGCTAGTGCAGGCTTATCGTGACTTTCAGGGTGATGGTTTGTCTAATCCTAGGGAGGTTCTGACTTTGACCTTATGCAAGTCGTATAGGTAAAGCCAGAACCTCCGAGCAAACACCATCCCTGACATTCTCTCTAATTCTCTCTTCCCTAACCCTCTCTTACCAGAATCCTTCACTGGATACTAAAGGGAAGAGCAACTAACTGTTCAATTTCCTCATCTGCAAGGGATAAGTTTCCACGTCCACAGGTTCAAGGATCTGGGAAGGCACTATATCCAGACCTAAAAGTCTCTTAGTGTTTGATATTAAAGATTGCAAGTAACGCACCAAATGTCTATGTATTTTGTTTCTCAACATAAAGCTGTAATTTTATGAAGAAGCTTTGCCCTCCGGCAAATCACCTAGTTGTAGAAAAATTATTCAAAGTTATTGCTTCACCTGGCTGGTATATATCTGTGGATTAAGCACCAGCCTGCAAACCAAAGTTATTGCTTCGACAGTGGCACTGTGACTGCACCAAAGCACAAGGTCTTCTGAGGAAAATAGGAACTGAGCAAATGCTGGAGATGCCCAACCTTTCCCTGGACTCAAATCTGTTCTCCATGAAGCAATATTGTCCCCTTGTTTACATACGTAGAACTGTTTTAGGGCCAATGAGAACCTTTCGCAACAGTGACAAAAATAAAATCAAATCCGCAGTGCCATTTACCTTCTTGTTTTGGGCTTTTCTGTTTTCTTCCTTTTCTAGATATTTGCTGGACATAGTCACTGGGGTATAAAAGGAAAGAACACCACTGCATTTTGACAGAGGAGTGAAAAAAGCTCCCTCTCCCAAGAAGGGCCCAAGTTCCTCTTGATTAGGGAGTCCGGAGTCTCGGGTGGGTGTGCGGGAGCCACCCTGCCGGTGATGGGTGGCCCCTTGCCACTTCCCGCTCAGCCACGGCCTCCCACCCTCCCAGGGCACTGGACAGCACCCCACGCCCCTGCTGCCTTTCTCCCAGGGAGCCTGCCCCTCTTGTACCTCCCGCGGGGCAGCTCCAAGAGGCACCCTGTACCCTGTACTCTGCGCAATCACCCGCTCCGTTCCTCACTGCCCGCTTGACTTTCCGGGGTACTCAGAGAAAAATTGCTGCTGCCACAATCACGCTGTTTGCCCTGCTGTAGGACACCTATCGTCCTAACTGCAATGCCCTACAACTGCGGGACTTTCTAAAATCTTTTAGGATGGGCTTTCTGAATGCAGTTCCAGCCCGGTTCCAGCCTGCAGCTCAGCCTTGGACAAAGGTGTAAGAAAGGTCTGGAGCTCAATTATCCTTATCGTTATGACTAAAGCACTCAACCCAGGGTGTGATTTGGGGAAACATTTCACTTACAGTGTCTTTCATGCTGACCCATGTGAATACTGGCATTCAAGAATCTAAAATGAAAAACCACATTTGGGGAGTGAGGACGGAGGTGGAGATAAGGGAGGCTCTGACAGGAGGACCGTAACTAGGAAGGGGACCCGGGGAAAGAACAGGCCCTGAATGTCCGGTTCTGGGCCCTCCATAAGACGCAGACTTGCATGGGCCTGATACCAGAGCCTAAATTCATTATTAGGACCGAGTCATAAAATGCCGGTCTCCCCAGGCCAGCTGCCCTTGTTCCCACAGTCTTTTTATCTATGTCCTCGGAGGCAGGAGCAAAAATTCTACTCCAATAGTAAGTCAGACTCCCCGTGGTTAGACAATAGTATGTCAGT